TGAGAGCCTTCACTTAATACATTTGCAAAGACTCCTTTTCCAAATAAAGTCACATTCACAGGTACCAGGAGTTACAACTTGGATATATCTTTTTGGGGGTCACAGTTCAACCCACTACAATCATAAGCATAACTGGTTATATACAGCTTACAAGATTCTGATTTCAGCAAGTCGGATGGGGCAGATGCTGCAGTTTCTCCTACCACATAAAACCCAAGAAATGATTCAAAATATATATTAAATACTATAAACATTAGGAGCCCTGACGGCACCTAACAACAACAATAACTGTAAATATATACTATATTTATTTAAAAAATAAAAAAGGAAGGGGAAAGCAACTCTCAGGGTCTTGGTGAACCTGAAAAGACACAGAATCTGTAAGATACTGAAGCATACAGCATTTGACGGAAAAAAGAAAAGAAAAAAAAACCTACTTGATAGGAAAAGTATGAGGTAGTGTTCACCCAGAAGGTGGGAGCATATCGAGGAGATCTGCTCCTAGAAGTGGTGGAGAACACCGCTGAGAAGGTGTCCAGGGACAACCAGCAGGGTAAGTAATTGAGACGTGCAGTAGGAGCAAGCCCCGCCGTATCCCTCCATTCCCCAGCCCCTGAAGGTCATAAAGCAGTGACTGGGGTGTCTGACTCCAGGCATGGAGCAGTCATGTGGGCATGTGAGGGAAGAGTCCGGGGAGCACAAGTCTGGGGAGCCCACTGAGTGGCCCTGGTACCTAGCAGTAGTAGAATTACCCATGCTGGGAAGTCCCATCATCCAGATACACAATCTAACACCATGTATCACCCATCCCCAGCTCACACTGTGACAGGGCCAGGCAGAAGCTCAGGCAGCAGTTCCTGCCCTACGCTGAGTCCGGCTGAGCAGCCTAAGGCAGTGGATAATTTAGCAGGGTATCTCACCTGCCTACTTGGGCACCTTTAAGAGACATGAGACACTTGAAGAGAACGCACATGAGTGGAAGATATCTAGCTCAGCCACGGAAGAACTTGTCCATGCAGAAACAGTATATATACTAACCACAAGAGGGTTTAATAATCCTGAAACATTTACAGATGAAATGACATGATACCTGGTGTCTAATCTTAACCATCACACCTGGGATTTTCTTCAAAATAATCAGGGCTAGCAAGGGAGCAAAGAAATGGGTGGGGAAAGAATTGAAATAAGATTGGCTATGCATTAATAGTTGTTGAATGATGAACTGCTAACCAAAATTGAGAGAACGGTAATAACAAGGTTAATTCCTTATCCTTTATACACAATTCAAGAAATAGAAGTATATGCATATTTTTTTGGAATTATAAAATTAGCAACCAGAACAAATAAAAACAAATGATTTTTTTAAAATGGTTGATTAAGGGGTAGGATTGGGGAGGGAGATTTTTCATTTTCCACTCTTCTATTGTTTGAATTTCTATTATGTATGATATATTTCTTTTATGATTATTAAAACATAAATCACTCACAAACTGGTAATTTCTATTCCTAGTAAAAAGTTTTGTGACGTATCTTACAGCACTACAGTTAAGAACTGCCACCTTCGATTAACCATTTTAAAAACTGGAGTCTTACCCTAGTCTCATTTTCCTAGAAATATATGAAAATGATTTGAAGCTGACAGCCCCTAACAGCACATTACTTTAAAGACTTTACTGAGAACCCTAAAATGGTTTGGGAACTGAAGCTTTAAGACCATGTTATCTGCCTCTTCAGGAGAAATGTCATCAAAGGAAAATGGAAATTTTTAATAGATCATCATTAGATTCAGGATTATCATTTAGGAAAATGATCAATTCACACTTGGACAATATTAAAATACTCTAACTTTTGTCTTTGATTTATAAGAAAAAGTTTCTGTGCTTGGTCTTAGATTATTTTCTATTTAGAGTTGTTTTGGTGATTCTTCTCTACACTCTTTTTTTTTCTTTATTGAAAATGAATACGGAAGAAAAAGCATGCACTGTACAGCGGGTTTACTAAAGAAACTCTGCAGTTGCGTTGACTTCTAGGCACTTTGCCCGGCCAAAGGGTGACTGTAGCGCTGGTGGTGCACGTGGCTGTGGGTCTGGGCAGATGAAAAATGTCTGCTTTTATAATAAGTCGGACAGTTGTTAAACTTGTAGATACTCTGTAGTTCTTGCAAGTCCCTCTGTCCTCTGTATTTTTAACTTGTCACTCTGTCTGAAGTTCCACTGTTGTTTTTTTAAGTCACCTGCCTGTCAGGGTACATGATATTTATCTTGTTCAAGAAACCAAAGGTCAGAAAAGGAGGAAGTGCTGTCTATAAAATGTGGTTGATTCATAGTTTGCATACATGTGAAATGGAAAAAGATTTACACAATATTGAATACTACTTTTAATATATTTGTATATATTCAATTTTAATTTTGGTAGCATTTATTTTTCTTCCCTACTTCTACTTTTTTTTTACCTGACAGAATGACAACCACCACTAAAAAAAAATACAGCTTTTTCTTTTTTTATTCTCTTTATAATACTTGAAAATAGCAACTAAGTTAATTGTTGTTGTTAGGGTCACCGAGTTGGTTCCTTCCTATTCATAGCGACCCCGTGTACAACAGAACCAAACACTGCCCGGTCCTGGGTCATCCTCACAGTCGTTGGCTGTGTTTGAGCCCGTTGCTGCAGCCACTGTGTCAGTCCATCTCGTCAAAGATCTTTCTCTCTCTTGCTGACCCTCTACTTTACCAAGCATGATGTCCTTCTCCAGGGACTGGTCCCTCCTAATAACATGTCCAAAGTACACGAGACAAAGTCTTGCTACCCTCGCTTCCAAGGAGCACTCTGACTGTACTTCTTCTGAGACAGACCTGTTCATTCTTCTGGCAGTCCGTGATATAGTCAATACTCTCCGCCAACACCGTAATTCAAAGGCATCAGTTTTTCTTCAGTCTTCCTTATTATCAGTTACTGTAAAATAGCCATTTTTCCTTCCTATTTGTAGGATCCAGGTGTGGGGCTGATGTCTAACATAGACCTCCTCTAGGACTTGAACAGGAGCCCTGGTGGCACAGTAGTTAAGTGCTCAGCTGTGAACCGAAAGGTCAGCAGTTCAAAACCACCAGCTGCTTGGCAGGAGAAAGATGTAGCAGTCTGCTGCCGTAAAGATTACAGCCTGGGAAACCCTATAGGGCAGTTCTCCTCTGTCCTACAGGGTTGCTATGAGTCAGAATAGACTCAGTGGCAGTGGGTTTAGGACCTTAACTCCAAAGTCCAGTGCCGTTGTTTTACTGCCCACACTGGCCCAGAAGGAGTCTTAGCTATGCCCATGTGGGTTAGATTAAACCTCAGGTGTCCACTAGTTTGGAGAGCCCAAGAAAGTCAAGATTAACACAGCCTATAACATTTGCTAGAACCATTTTACTGCTGTAGCCAGCCCTGCATGTGCTCCAGCCAGGAGTGAAATGAGACGTTTTTCCTGTCTTCAAATGTGGAAGAATCTAAAACTGGCCCAGCCATCCAGGGGCGAACTTGGGAATCAACTTACACGTGTCAGTGGCTGTTTTCTTTCTTTTCTGCTCCACGCTTTAACACACTGTAGCTGAAGTACATTAGCCACCACGTATTTTAGGTACACAGTGTTTGTCCCTCTCCCTCCTTCTTTATCCTGTTTCATTTCTGTGACACTGTTTCTAGAAAACAGTGTGTTTCTTCTTTTTCTGTAATTGTGATTTTAGTTAGAAAAGCTTTTCAAATTTGAAAGCTTCTATATTCAGTGTTTGAATCAATGACAACAAAATAATATGAGATTAAATACAAGATTCAACCAGGATCAACACATTTCCATGAATTGGTGCTATTTAACGCTGCCAGTGAATGTGAAGTTTGTTTGTATGCTTTTCTAAATGCACTGTTGCTTGTCTTGATGATTTACAAGTACTGCTAGTGCTGTTTAAGTCTGTTGTGACAATGCTAAATAGAGTCCTTTGGCAAACTCAGCTGTTTTTATTAAAAGTGAATAGTGGTGAGTGGAAAGGGGCTTGTAAACAATTTTCTTGTCAAAGAATGATGATGGAGAAATAAAGCAATTTTACTTCCTTGTTTTTGAGCGTCAGTTCCACGTACTTTTCAGCTTTTCTCCACAGAGCCCCTTCCTTACTTTCACATTGAGAACAGTCTTGGTTGTCAGTGTGTTGAAAAATAAAATTTTGTGTGTCTTTATCTTTGTGGGTGTAGGATTGCTATTTTACATAGTTATTTTTTGACTAGAAAGAAGAAACTTCTTTTTAAGAAAAATGTGTTCAAGTTGTTTAGTTATTGACTTACGGTTTTATGTCCTTATTTCATCAAAGAAAATAAGAATAAAAATTGAGAAAGCTTCTAATTAAATGTATTTAAGCAGTAAAAATGCATGTTTGGCTTCATCTGGCATTAGTTAAAGCGCCTTAACAGTTTTCATATTTGGTGGATGCTTAATAAGAACATGTTACAGTGCAGTAATAATTTAACTCTTGTTGAATCTTGGAAAATATAGTAGATAAACAGAAATGTTGAATGCTTCTTCACCTTTGGATCAGGGATATGGCAAGTCATTAGTTAGTATTGGTAGCAGTATTGTCATACTAACTTTTTTCTAGAGTTTTTATGGTTTTGTTTATCCTTTCCATGTCTTAATAAAGTATTTTGGTGTTGGAAACTACCTTGGATGAGTATATCAGAATCCCTGGGAGATTCTAAAATCAACTCAGTCCTGATTTTAGAAGGTCATTACTTCCTGGTGTAGCATTCTCAAAGGAACCAGGATAAACCTCTATTTCTCAAAGTGAAAAATAGATATATATATTGTAATTTCAAGCTCATGATCTCTGGCTTTGAGAATTAACTAGCTGCTTTTGGAAGTTAACATGATTTTTAGTCTCTTGAATTGTAAACCAAGTATTATATTCTTCTACAAAAGAGAAGCAAAATGTAGATCTCCCTGAAAATTTATTTTAATAAAAAATGTATCTTTATTTCAGTATCTTAAATAGTGAAGATGAAGAAATATTCAATAATGAAGAGTGTGAATATACATCCAAAAAAAGGAAAAAGGACCATTTTGGAAATGATACAAATACTCAATGTAAGATAATTTTCATTAATAATTGTATATTATATTTTAGCTATTGAATATGTTGCTATACTAAATTATTTTGACATGCTGCCTTATGAAATAAAAGATGGTATATAATACAGCACTGTATGGAGCATCAACCACTGCTTTAATGATCAGACTTTTTACAACTCAACCATTTTAGTAAAATCATTTAGTTTAGCTGGTAAATAGGCAAAACAAAAGATAGCAAAAGCCCCAAAACAACCAACATATCTAAATGATTGAATACCCACTGCCATCGAGTCGATTCTGACTCATAGCAACCCTGTAGGACAGAGTAGAACTGCCCCACAGGGTTTCCAAGGAGCCGCTGGTGGATTCAACCAGCAGCCGTAGCTTCCCTGCAGCTCTTTGAAAAGCAGTCATGAATTCGGTTCATCAGAGCCTCTGTGTTTCACTTCTAAGCAATGAGGCCAGATTGTGAAGTGACTTGACATTAATCCAGGATTCATTGAAGTTCTGAGCAAGAGACAGACATGATCAGATCTGGATTTTAGGAACACCTGGAGGCAGGCAGACTGGAAGCTGTTGCAGTAGCCTGTGTGAAAGGGATTGAGGGCCTATAGTAGGGCACTGCATTGTGGCACAGTCATGAGTTATTAAGAACTTTTTTTTTTTTAATGGTATTAATATACTCTATTGAAGAAGATAAGGGGCCCTGGTGGTGCAGTGGTTAAGTGCTTGGCTGCTAACCAAAAAGTTGGCAGTTTGAACTCACCAGCTGCTTTGTGGGAGAAAGATGTGGCAGTCTGCTTCCATAAAGATTTCAGCCTCGGAAACCCTATAGGGCAGTTCTCCTGTGTCCTGTAGGGTCGTTATGAGTCAGAATTGACTCGATGGCAACAGGTTTATTGAAGAAGATAGGATCATATGGAGAATATAGTTATATAATATGTTTCTTGAAGTTTGAGATTCGAGTTATATGAAAAATTTACATATATGGAGTACCATTTGAAGTCAGTAAGGGAGGTATAGAAATTTTATTAGGGTTCCTAAGAGCTCATTAATAATTTAATTGCATTTTTATAATATTTATGTTTTGATATTGTCATTATCAATAATGCTGATTTTCTTCTAAGTTATTAAGGCTTGGTGCTGTCTTAAGTCGTTTTTCTTATAAAGCTCTTTCAGCTCTTTTTAAACCAATATTAGGAAACAAAGTAATTCTGCTTACATTTAACTAAGTAAAAGTAACTCTTATCTGTACTGTAAGTCAGATAGTTATGTTAGCATATGCAATGATAGAAGTTCCTTTAAACCTTCATTTTGAAATGATTCACCAACTTTTAAAACAAAGTTAATTTTTATTCTAGGTTTTTATCGTGAGAAATGGATCTATGTCCATAAAGAAAGCACAAGAGAAGTAAGTGTTCTAAGAGTGTATTTTGTTTTGTTTCTAATGAATATGTAATATCATATCAAATAAATTATTTCTTTTCCAATCTCAAATCTGTGGTTCACATTCTGATATATGAAAGCATATGCTCTAATATATGAGGATCTTTTGAAACAGTGACTCTCAATTGTTGTGTGCACGTGTGGTGTATGGTTACACTGCTCGCTTACGAAAGACTATTAAATATTTTTTTGCTCTGTGTTAACACACTGTTTACAGAAAAGATCCAATTTACCCTAGCATAAGGAACAAAAGAGGAACTTCTGAGGCTGCAGGGTTATGACACGGATCCTACGAATGGGTATAACCAGGCTTCAGGAAGGAAAGGAGCTGGGAACTGGAGGGATGGCACAGCCCTCTCCACCTGCCTGCACCTCACGGTGCAGATTTATCCTGCTCACTTGGTGCAGACCAGATGTCTCTGCTGCTTATCCATGTGGCAGAGTATGTTTGCCTGCGGCTTCTGAGGTTACATGTTACAGTTTCAATCCTGCTAAGAAGGTGGACAGGGACAGGTGCTTCAAGCATGCTATCTGTGATCCAGTCTGTAAAGCAGAGTTAATTCCCAAGGAAAGAAGAGGCTGCTCTGAGATGTGCAGATACCTCGAAAAGGCGTCTGTTTAACATTATTTAGAACTTTGTGGGTTGAAAAGAGAAAGAACTTAAAGTAGGAATATCAGCCGTGATTGGTATCAGATCACAATCTGCGTATGTATCTTTGCTTCCTCCGCAGCTTCCAGGAAAATATTTTGCACGAAGTGGACTTTCAGAAAAATACATATTGAATTTTTTAAATGAATGTATTTCATTGATTCGTCAACCCATAGGACTGTTCTTGGGATTTGGGCACAAAACTAAATTAGCCTTTGTAGTGCATCTGAGATTAAGGTGTTACTACTCCAGCTGCTTTTACTAGACCATCGCATGTCCTCTGTTTAAAATTGGAGAAGTAATCTATTGCCTCAGGTTTTCTATTATTATTTTACAGTTTATCTGTTTCCACAACTCTGAAGTGAAATCTGTGTTTCAAATACAGAGTGTGGAATTTAAAAGGACTCCTGAAAGCTAAAATGCAAATCCATGCAAACCAATGTAAAATATAGGACATCTCATTAAAGAAAAATATCTAAAATAGAATAGTATTTGAGATACTGAAGAAAAAAATACTCAAGTTTACTTGTTTTCTTTGACTTTCGGACCTGTGGGTCTAATTATCAACTTGTTTGGTTTGTTGGGTCCATGTTCTCCAGCCTAGAAATTACCAGTCGTTAGATGAAAACTTCCCCATTTCCTTTAATTCTTCACCTGAAAGGTGTTTTTCAGTGCCTGAGAGATTCTGCTTCTTAGTAGCCAGGTTCCTTTCAGCTTCTTTATCCTTTGTGGTCATTCATACTTCCAACATTGAAACAATGAATAACTCCTTTGCAGATAAGTTAATATGTTTCAACATATGTATTTAATGCATCTTCATAATAACTAAACCGATGCTGTATATATTTTAGCTGCATAGCCTAAAATACATCCAGTTTTTACATGATCTTAAGCTTAATTTATACCTGCCCCCAACTTGTCCCCAACAGAAGAAATCTGGCAAGATATTTAATAAATATGTTTTCAGTGTCATTACATAGGCATTAATATAAAAATGGTGAATTAATTCGTAATGTTTTGATTATACATAAATGGCTTAAATTTTACATTCCTATTATTTTACTGTATTCTCATCTAAATCCGGAATACATTTTCAGAATTAAAAAAAATGCTTTTTTCAAATAAAAAAAACTGCACAGAATAATTGACACCGTCAATTAGTTTTGACTAATTAACTAACTTGACTGATTTTAACTGTTTTGTATTTATCTTTTCCAGAGGCATGGCTACTGTACCTTGGGAGAAGCTTTTAATCGCTTAGACTTCTCAAGTGCAATTCAGGATATCCGAAGGTTCAATTATGTGGTCAAAGTAAGTATTTTATTTCCAAAGCTATTCTGATGATTCTTTTGAATAGCTGTCTTTGGAAGATTGTAAGTGTAAAATGTTTAAAACGCTTTTGCCAACTGCGTAGAATTGTACTTGTTGTCTGTGTAGGAAAAAACAAGAAGAAATGAGTTCAGGGGGGTTTCCTTCATCTTCGTGTTCTAGGTTGAAAGGGCCCCCAGCAGAATTAAGTCCTCATCTGCCTCTTGCAGTATCACGCGTGAACCGATGGCGTCTCCCTGTGGTTTCTCTGAGTTTGCCTTATGCTGCAGAATCGTCTCTTGTTAGATTGCACCAGACTGTGTGTGTGTGTGGTTTAGAATCTCCCACATACTGATAGCTGTCAGTGATAGAAAGAGAAGAGGCAGAATGTTTTCCATAGGGATTTTTTACCTGATGATTTGAAATGGGTTTTCTACTTCATGCTTTTGACAAAGAATGACCCTTTAATAGAGGAAGGACTAGCTACTAGGGAAAAGAAAAAAAAAAAGAATTTTATACAAAATAGAACTTCACAAAAGCTATACGTATTCCATTACTGATGTCATTTTTAGAAGAGATTTTTATCTTGGGTCACATTGACCAAGAAAGAATCTTAGCTATATATTCCATTAACTGTTTGCTTTTATTTGTCTAAAGATTAATTACTATGTGGTTAATTCACCTTCGTTCTGTTATAGGTAGAGTACAAGTGATGGTTTATGAAACTACTAACTTTGTATCTTTAGTGGTGCTGTGAAACATTGGAAAGACTTCTGTTTGAATAGCTTTAGACATTTTAAAAATGTTAACTGAAGGACTAAAACAATTGAGGGGTTAAATACCTTTAAGCCTAAAAGAAACGCATTGCCGTTGAGTAGTCGATTCTGACTCATGGTGACCCTAAAGGACAGAGTAGAACTGCCGCATAGGGTTTTCAAGGCTGTAACCTTTACAAAGCAGACTGCCACATCTTTCTCCCACGGGATGCCTTTCAGTTAGCAGCTCAGTGCTTAAGTACTGCTTCACCAGGGCTGCTTAAAATTAATATAGCTACTTCAAATGTCTTTCGACTAATGTTAGCATGGTATATCTTCCTCCATCCTTTTATTTTTATTCCATCTGGGTCTTTATACTGAAACTGGGTTTCTTGTAGATAATACATGCTTTGATCTTTTAACCCACTCTGTCTCTTTTGATTGGCGTATTTAGAGCACTCACATTTAAAGTGATTACTGATGTAATTGGATTAATACCTCCCATACTTGTAACTTTTCTGTTTGTTGTCAGTGTTCTTTGTGTCTTTTTTTACTTTCCTCTCTTCCTGCCTTCTCTGGCTTTAAATGAGCATTTCGTATGATTCCATTTTCTGTACATCCTTCGCTTATCTGTTATACTGTTAACATTTTTCTGGTGGTTGTCCTAGACTTTGCAATGTTCATTTGAAAGTAATCTACATCCACTTTCAGATAACAGTGCAGTCACGCGCTGCATAACATTCAGGTAACGTCCAACCGCTTACACGTCTGTGGTCCCATGAGGTTGTAATAGAGTTGAGAAATCTCAACTGGAGAATGAGATATAGCGAACGCAACAGCTTCCCGCACGTAACACATGTATCCCATGTCTCTTGTATACAGAGCCATTGCACTGCCAGGCATATAATAAAAAAACCCATTGCCATTGAGTCAATTCCATCTCACAGCGACCCTGTAGGACAGAGTAAAACTGCCCCATAGGGTTTCCAAGGAGTGGCTGGTGAATTCAGACTGCTGACCTTTTAGTTAGCAGCCATAGCTCTCAACCACTGTGCCACAGGGCTCCAGGTGTATAATGGTACAGTACATATATAAGCTATAATACTAATAAACACCTGTGTTCCTGGCTTATGTACGTATTGTACTGTACTTTCTATATAAAAAGTTTACCGTATAACAGTGTATGCTTTGACTCATAGGCAGCAGTATCCAGTCTTGTGTCTCTTGAGTGTTGTAGCATTATCTCTCTGTTTAATTTTCTTTTGAAAATATCACTGTGAAGTGCATCATGGTTTCCAAACACAGCAAGACCAGTGCTAGTGAGAGCAGCAGCAAGGGGCAGAGCAGAAGTATCGATTTGGAAGTGAAAAAAGGTTATTAGCCCTTTCGTGACTCAGTTATTTTTCCGCTTTAATTTTTGTTAGTACTGTGTGTTTTCAGTAATGGAGGGCATACTGAATCATTGAATGTGTCTGCATTTTTGGTAGGTAATATGATTTTTGTGTTATGCCTCAGTCCACAAATCATACCCTCGGAGTCCAGAGGTACATATGTGTACCAAGTAAAAAATTTTCAAAAGTCACATTTTTCCTACCAAAAATTCAAGGGTTCAGCACCACCTCATACAATATCCTATAAAAACAGTAATTTGTGGCACAGTCCTGTTTTTTCTGTTTCAAACTGTTAAACAGGGCCCTGCCTACCGGCAACACAGACTGTCAGTGGGACAGCAGCTTCCCAATGAACCCCAGAGGTACAAAAAGTAAGTGGTAGCTATATATACTGCCAGTCCTGAAAGGGTTAAACAACGCGAAGGTGGAAAATCAGTGAATGCTTTTGCTCACAATTTAGGCCTGTCACACTTGACAATCATGAGGATCCTCAAAAACAAAGAAAAAATTCTCGAAGTTGTTAAAGGACCGGCTCCCCTGAAAGCTACAAGGCTAATGAAAATGCCAGAGGGAACTATATCAGATATGGAAAAATTGCTAATGACATGAATTGAGAACCAAACACAAAAGCGAATCCCTTCCAGCTCGTTGACGATCACTGCTAAAATATGAAGCTTATTCGAGATGCTTAAAGAAAAAAAAGCAGGACGATACTGTGATACAGTGTTCACACAACATCCAAATCACATAACGTCCTATTTCACAGAACATATCGTGGACATTAAGCAATGCATGACTGTATACTGCTTCACATGTAGTGCAGGTACCTTATATAAAAGTATTCCCAATTTTTCCTTCCTATTCCTTAAGACATTGCTATCATTCATGTCACTTATCCATAAGCTCTAATCACCGAATACATTGTTACTGTTATTATTTTGAACCAACAGTTATCTATTAGATCATTTAAGAATAAGACAAAGATAAAATATTTTATTTTACTTTTATTTCTTCTCTAATGCTCTTCCTTTCTTTATGTAGACTAGCATTTCTGACCTGTATTATTTTCCTTCTTTCTGAAGAACTTTTAGCATTTCTTGCAAGGTAGACCTATTGGCAACAAATTCTCTCTATTTATTTATTTGGTCCTAGAAAGTTTATTTCTCCTTTACTTTTGAAGGATAAGTTAGTTGGATACAGACTTCTAGGCTGAGGGGTTTTTTTTTGGTTTGTTTGTCTTTTGTTTTTCTTTTGACATTCAGATATTTCATTCTGCTTTCTCCTTGCTTACATGGTTTCTAAAGAGAAATTCAGTGTAATTCTTATCCACGTTCCTTTATAGGTAAGGTTGTTTGTTTTCTTTTTTTCTGGTTTCTTTAACGATTTTGTCTTTGGTTTTCTGCAGCGTGAATATTATGATGTGGTTATGTGTATATTTTTTGGTGTTCATCCAACTTGGTATTCTTTGAGTTTCTTGGATCTGTGATTTGGTATCTGCCATTAATTTAGAAAATTCTTAGCCATTATTACTACAAATATTTCTTCTGCTCCTTTCTCTCTGATATTCCCAGTATGTGTATGTTACTTTTTTTACAGTTGTCCCACATCTTGGATATTCTGTTCCTTTTTCTTTTTCCTTCATTCTTTTTTCTCTTTGCATTTCATTTTGGGACATTTCTATTGATGTACGTTGAAGCTCACTGATTGTTTCATCAGCTAGCTATATCTAGTCTGCTGGTGAGTCCATCAAGGGCGTTCTTCATTTCTGTTACATTGCTTTTTATTTCTAGCATTTCTTTTTCATTCCTCCTTAGAGTTTCCATCTCTCTGCTTACATTACCCATCTGTTTTTACATATTGTCCACTTTTTCCATTAGTATCTTTAGCATATTAGTAATAGTTATTTTAAATTTCCATTCTGCTAACTCCAAAATCTTTGACATATCTAAGTCTGGCTCTTAATGCTTGGTCTCTTCAAACTGTGTTTTGTTTTTCCTCCATTTTAGCATTACTTGTAATTTTTTTGTGAAAAGCCAGACATAATGCATCAGGTAATAGGAACAGAGGTAGACAGTCCTTTGGTGTGAAGTTTTATATTTATCTGGCTAGGAGTTTGGCTGTGTTTATTTTTTGCTATAGCTGCGGGTGTCAAATGCTTCAGTTTCTTTTAGTGCCCTTGTTTTTGTCTCCTTTGTTGTCGTTCAGATTCCCCAGGAACTTCTTAAGTAGAATCTGTATCTTACAGCTTTCTCAGTTGTAATCCACTGTCACTGTACTAGAGCCCTATTGATGTGGTGGCAAGGTATTAGAAAGGATAAGCATTCTATAATCTTATGACTTTTTAAAAAGTGGGCTACAGTCCCTGACTGACTTTCAGAAGCATTCCTGGCCTTTTTTTTTTTTTTTTTTTTCTTCCCTATATAAGAGAGGAAGGCCATATGGGCTTGAGCAGGCCAGTTGCATTTCTCCAATGTGAGACAAGGCTCTGGCAAAGCTGCAGCCCCTGCCACTGAGAACAGAACACTCTGGACTTGTTTCAAAATGGCTGCTTTTCCTGTGGGTGTATTTCCAAAATTTCACTTTTCACTTCCCCCTACCTGAAGCACGAGGAGATTTTTCTCCGGTCTTCACTGTGAATACCTGGTCAGGCACTTGGCGGTAAAACTTATGAAACTTTGGGGAGCAGTCTCCCCAAGACTGGGCCCCTAGGAGGTTTCAACTCTGAAGCTCTTCCACACCCAGCCTCCTAGATTTGTCAGTTACCATTTAAGTGTTTCTACCAGTTGCTGGCTGCAGCACAGCAGTGGCCTCTGATCCTGGTAAGCTGTGATTCTCGATATTTCCCTCTTTCTCCAGT